TCCTGGGTGTATACACAGGAAAATGTTAGTATGATTTTGTTGCTAATTATGCAAGTAACTAATAGAGAATTTTAAAAGAAACATGGATTTTTTTAAAAGAAAAGAGTTGACTGATTTCAGTGCTTATTTTCTCTCTACAGCCAAAATTAGCTCTGAAAACAAGCAGTCTCCCGTACGTCAAAGACGGCGACCGTATGGAACCCATGAGCCTACTAGGCCCCTGCGAGCAACAGCCAGCCTTGAGCGTGGCCTGAACAACATTTCTTATCCTCTGAATACATATTCTTCTGGTTAGTCACTAGTCAGTCATTTCTGTGGTGAACTTTAAAAACAGCTGAATTCAGTACTTCAAATATGTGAACAGAGAGACAATTACTGTGAGTGAGAAATTAACATTATCAGACACTTGCAGTGGGTAGGTAGGATGCAGAATCTTTTTACTTCAATTTTAGTGTTTTCCTAAAGCCAGATGGTTCTTTCTTTTCTTCAGGCTACAACACAGTGACACCAACAGGACCCGTTCCAGTTAGACTGAACCACTTGAATGCAGGTTCTGTTCCTGATCTTGGGCCAGACACAGTTGACAGAATCGCTGGGGTCAACCAATACTTACAGCAGAGGTGGACTAATTACTTTGGAGGTAAGGGGCTGTTGGATAGTCTGTATGCAACTGTTATTTTGTTGTCAGCTTGCTGAACCAAAATTTTATGAGCTTTTAAATGTATTGCCTTTTTTTTTATCAGTTTTACTATGTTCATATGAAGGTTGTTCTGTGCTGATTAGTTATTCTTTTAGAAATTGAAATAACACAACTTGCAATGCGTTTTCTCTTTCCATTTCAGAGCTTTCTGTTCCACTAGGAGGAAAGGCAGGGTGGCCCTCACAGGTCATAGGCCAGTCAACGTTTTTTGTAAACAAGAACAGCACCTCTAAATTCTTCCACAAAGGTGACGTGTCATCTTCAGCCGCTGGGAAGAACCATTCCCCGTTTGTGGCTGCTGCTGGCATGACCACAGTCACTCATCAAGAAGACATCAATATAACCCAGAAAATTGATGACTTGCGTGCATGGTTAGACAGTGCACAGGCCACCTCAACAGTTCTGAGCAATGCAAATAAGTGAGCAGGGTGGCTTATTAGTGCACCCAAGTGTGAAATTTTTGTGAATAGTTGCTACCCATTTTGGTCTTCCACAACCCACATACCGGTACTGTGTGACAGGAGGGATCCTCTTCGGTGAACAAATTTGTTCTGAAATATTTTTACTCTGTATCTTTAGGTGCATGTAGTTTGTAGCAATATGACAACCAATAGCCTTGTGCTCAATACATTGTAAGAGTATTGAAGCCTTAAGGGAGAGTTCTTGATAAGTTATTTTGATACCTCTTACTGATATATTACTTTCCATGGGAAAGTGTCATGTTCAGAGAGTATTTTCCCAGAGTCCAAGGGAAGGATTTGTGTGAACAATTTTAATGGTTGAAAACCAAAGATGTAAAGTGTCCTCCTGTATGTTTGCTTTTGTTTAATACCTTGTAAATATGTTTTAGGGAAAGATAAAAACAGGGCAGCAGTGCATTATAGATCTAATTAACAAGTTGTTTGATATATTTGATGTGGTATATATGAAACCAGTGAATTTGGCTCTTAAAACCTTCCTCAGACTGAATATACTGATTTCAAGTGCATAGAAAATCAAGTGTGATAACTTGGCTAATCTCAGCGTAATATTAGTCCGTCCAGAATCTGCCTTCAGGAGTTATTCCATTTTATGCTAAAAGGATTCAAAGAATTCATATCATTTCAAAAAGTAATCTGGTATCTTGTAAGCTCTTTCAGAAAGGTCAGCTGAAAGAAGTTGGTAATAAAGTAGTTTCATTTCCTATACCTTGTAGTTGTGAATGATTAGCAACTTAATTGGTTAATAGGTGTGGATTAAGTATCAAGTAAAAATAACTTGGTTAGAATAGGAAGATCAGTAAATTTTTAGAACTAGTGATAGATGACAAAACACTCTTCTGTGTTGATACATTGGCAGAAAGGAAACACGGTGTAGCAAAGAGGTTATCAATAAGCCTGTTTTGTGAATAGTGGGTTGATCTGCCAAAATTGTTTACATGAATGTTAAAGAAATATGACATTCAGAGCAAAATTAGCAACTTCCCAGATTAGGGTTTTATTTTAAGCTATAGAAATTGTCCTGAGATCATATCTTTTATTTTATGAGTATCAAAGAAAGGATACAGAAATCCATGACCCAGATAAACTTGATGCTCGCTTTGGTGTTGAATCATAACTCAGAGTTTGAGATTTATTTCCCCCCCTTTTTTACCAGGGTCAGTACTGTGTAATTGCTGTTTTTTAGTGGTTATATGTCATTAATCTCAGTGCATGTGGTTGAATGGTGTTTGCACTGTTAAGCAGTAAGTACTTTGTCCATCCAGGTAGTGCCATAAAATGTGGTTCAGGCTTATATATGAACTACTCTGTATTTAAGCTT